ATAAGATGATGCAAAGAAAGCAGAAGAAGATGGAGAGGAAGGATTGAGGATGGTTATTCAGAGGAAGAAGAAAAGGGGTGAAAGAAGACAGAAAGGTGAATATAGGCGCAAGCACAGATGAAGAAGATGGCGGTAAAGAAGGTGAAACCGGGTCACAAAAGAAGCGGAAAACCGAAAAATGAAAATCAAAAGAAGATTGAAGCGAATGGAAATCCAAGAAGCAGGAAATGAAAAGATGATGGAGAGGAAGCAGAAGCTGTCTGAGATGAAAAGAATATGGAAACGGATTGGAATACAAGAAGCAGGAAATATGAGATGACGAATGGAATTAGCAGCAGGCGGAGAGGAAGAAAGTTCAACTTAACAATTAACACTAACACCACATCATAATACACACTGTAAACTAACATTTTTTAAAGACACAAATGCATCAGCAGATGTAAAGTGTTGGTAATAAACAACAACTTCAACAACTGCAAAAGGGGAACAACGAGAAGGGAAACCAATGGTCGAATGGTCCAAAAAAGGACAAAAGGTCAAATAACCCAAAGAGGAACAAAAGGTCGAATGGTGACAAAAGGTTAAATAGACGAACCTCAAAACATTTTAGAAGGCACACAAAAGTTCGCATTTACAAATTCAGGGACAGAGGTTGAATGGCACTAGGAGTTAAAACAATATAGTAATACTTACAGATATCATAATAAAAAAGAAGAAAATTATATTTCTTTCAAACAAGCACAGTTCTTTCAATATAATGTTTTTATGGTTTATTACACTGAGTATTAGCGGTGCCGGTGGTGCAGTGGTAAGCGTGATTACCTCTCACTCCAAAGAGCCGAGGATCAATCCCAGTCAGTGCCTCCGGGATTTTCAGAGGCATACAATCTCTGATCGCGCCTTCTTTCGGAAGGGATGTAAAGCCGTCAGGCTTGGTTCTCTCTTCGGTGTGAGTGAATAGAAAAGTGTATCTGCTACGTGCACCGCATCCAACAAAATTGTGCGCGCACCGTAGGTCAGCTTGTTCCAAGACGGTTTTATGACAGGTGGGCAGGAACTCACGGTCTCCCAGTGTTGGTGAGTTCTTTGCCGTTAATGTTCACGAAAAGTTCACTATTTTGCTATACAGAAATTCATAACAAAAATTTTTATCTGCGGATTTGAACAGTTTTTGACCTGTTTCATACTACCGGAAGGTGTATGCTGGTCACAAATGCCGTGCCCAACTGATTTCCTACTCAATTAATCAATCTTTGATGTGAAATTCGCTAATAAACACGAGGCGCATTTCTTATAGCAAACATGCCATAACAAAATGGGCATGGTTCATTTTAGTAATCAAACTAACACTTCTTCCGACTGTGGCACCTATGTATTAGGCACCGAGGGCTTGCTCTACACCAAACGCTCAAGCGCACCGATTGCACGTGAGTGCGAGAGTGCAATACATCGCATACACTTCGGCAAATGAGAAATCTCGAAGTTTTGCACTTGGCTACACTCGGCTTTTTTACCAGAGCAAGAGCACGCTCACTGAAGCGATTCCGTTGCGCATTTTCCTTACCTCATAACAGCTGGCGCATTCCCTGTGCTTTGTGCACTTTCCAGACGATATTTGCATGAGAAAATGGAATCAGAGACCACCGGTGTAGAGCGAAAACGACTTTGGTTATTCCGTCATTATTTGAGAAATCAGCTCATATTGTAAGGCATTGAAAGAGTGGCATGCAGTTGCCGAGAGCAAAGGCCACGTGAAAAATTGTAAAAATACGTTAATATTTTCTTTTAATTCTTATTTTCCAGAATTTCCAACGTAAGGGGGAAGAAACGGGAATTAGACTGATGCCTATAAAGACGAGCTAAAAAAATAGTGTGTACAGTAATTAAAGTAAAGTGACCGGCCTCTGGATTATCTTACCTATCAGGCATTATTAGGCGTTTCGCATTCAAAACGCGGTTTTAAAATTTAATTGGTGCACTACTAGTACATTAAAAATATTTTTTGTTTAGTCCCACATTGTCCAAGAAAATAGCTAGTCACAACATCAAAGGAATGTTTTTATAAGGTAGATATATGATTTTTTTAGTTTGATCATATGCACCAAACTCTAACAAACTCAATACTTAGGTAAGGTGAGGTATTAAAAAAAGGCGAAATTTGTAGAATTGTATAGAGGAAAGAAAGTGGTCGAAAAATTTTGCCGCACAATAGTCATGGAATTTAATGTAGGTTTTATTTCGCACAGAAACAAATACATTAAACTAAAATATAAAGCCTCTTTATTCAAAACATTTAGTAATCATACTAAAAGACAATCAAGGTTGTGTTTCCATCGTGAATGATTGACTAAAGTTTTATTGGGGTAAAATAAAGTGCCTTAAAAACAGGTAGTTACGATGATTGACAGAAAGTTTATGACAACGATAAAAACGATAAACATATTGTTGCTCTTTTATTAGTCAAATATGTGGAAATGTAAGAATAATAATAAAAAAAACAAGTTTAATGAACTTACGTAGAGCAGTCAACATACCTTAAACCTTATAGTTAAAATAAATATTATCAATAATATTACCATTTGCTCTAAAAAATAGTATCTTGTTAAACTCTGTGTTATTTTTTAACAGAAATCGAAAACACTTCAAACCCTACACGATTGCTTTTATTGACAATAATCGTATTGTCAATACATTCAATATTGACGTCAATACATCGGTATTGACAATATTTCTGTATTCACATCATCAATATTATTGTTAATAATTCCCCTTCGCGTCAATATATTGATACGTGTGGAGTTCGCTTTACAATAGCTTATTCTTGTTGCTCATAACACGGGAAAAAAAGAGTTCCCATATTCGTGAACCACAGCCGTGAACCATAGTTCACGGTGTATATTTGAGAAAATTTTGTTCTGGATAGTTGGCCGTGATTTTTAGTTCACGGTCCGTTCCCGTTTTCGGGAACGGATTTTTTTCCGAGAAGACAGCAAGGCCGGATTAAAAGCATACAGTCGTAGCATATCTCGAATCGTACTGCTCGGATCGTACACTGTTCTTCTCCGTGTCTCTCTCTCTTCGTTTTACACGTGCACGATAAGCAAACCCCACACGCATCAATATATTGACGCGAAGGGGAATTATTGACAATAATATTGATGATGTGAATTCAGAAATATTGTCAATCTCGATATATTGACGACAATATAGAATGTATTGACAATACGATTATTGTCAATAAAAGTAATCGTGTAGGGTCCACTATAGGGAATGCTCCTGCTCTTCGTTCGAGCGTTCGTGCACGGCGAGCAACGAAAGTTTTCTCCGCGTGCATCGTGTTTTCTTCTCGACGTATGGGTCAACACATACACTTCGTAGGTACACGTGCGAGGAAAAGCCAATCCTGCAGTTACCTGACCCTTCCCAACACCGTTTGGGTTTCCTTCCAACCATTTGTTCACAAACACAGCACATTCGTCCATCCACATATTACACATATATTTCCACATAAAGCTTAACTTAACATTTATGCACATAATTTACAAGTAGAACTTCCATCCCAGGATGTCTCGGGATAAAAAATTCCCGGGTTTCCCCAATCGCAGCCATTCATTTGATTTCAGAGAACTTCATAGAAGTTCGTGGAACTACGTTAAAAGTTCCGGGACTGTTATAGAACTTCAAGAAATATCATAGATCTTCAAGATACTTCGTAAAGTTGAAGACAACTCAAGCTGAACATTGCATTGACAGATTCTCTTCGTCGAATTTCTCTTTGTATCCCCACGGCCATGTTAAGTCATTCCCAGGTATTTTCGGCACCCAGATCGATAAAAGAAGATTTTATCTAGCATCTTTTATGACAAACACAACAAGAAACAGTTATGTGCTCAAGTTATTAACGAAAGAGAAAGTCGACGAAGAGAATCGATCAATGTTACTTAGGACCCAATGCAATGTTCAGCTTGAACTTCGTGAAAGTTTAGGAAACTACGTTGAAATTATGGCCATTTTTTTTTCAAGTGCATCAATAGGAGTTCAGTAAACTCTGAGAATGCTCAGCGCAATTTGTACAACTTCAGTGAACTTTGTAGAAGTTTGCTGAACTTCGGCAACCTTTATAGACATTTTGTGAACAGAAATTTCGAGAATCTTGTAGAAGCTCGGAGAACTTTGTTGATGTTCGTAAAATTCAACTTTGTCGATGTTTAGGGTAGCATTTCAGGAAATTTAGAAGAAATTCGGAGAAATTCACAGAGCACCAGAGAATTTCATATAAATTCAGAGGGCTCTGTTGAAATTCGGGAAAACTAAAAATGTGAGAACTTCTGTTTGGGAACTTTGTTGACGTTTAGGGAACCTTATTTTATTTCAGGAAACTTCACAAAAGTGTTCCTGGACCTTCTCTCAATTACAAGGCACTTCGTTAGTGATTTTTGCCAAATTTAGGTATTCCGTAGAAGTTCAGAAAACATTGTAGAACTTTACGAAACTTTGCAGAAAAACGTCGCAGAATCATTTGCAGAAACTTTATAACAGTGCAGTGAACTTTGCAGAGCTTTATTGCAGGAAATTTTGTAAAAGATCAGGAAACTTTGAAAATTACATCACATCCATTTCCCCTACTTTAATTTTTTATTCAAGTTTGTTTGCATATAAAATTCTTAAAATTGTTATTTTTTACTTTCAAACTATGTTTGTCTTGCTCTTTGCTAAACAATCAAATATCAGATGACATTTCGTTACTTCAATATTGTGATGATATCGATTTTAAGATTCGATAATGATATCGAGTGAAATATAGATAGGACCGTCCCTAGAAGTATTTAAAATTCAAATATTTTAATTAGGAACCCAAGAGGATAATTTGATCAGCAATGTTAATTTCCGGTGCAGTTCTCCCTTGGGTCGGGTCATTGTCTGTGCTAAAGAGAGAAGAACCTCCCCACCCCTACACCCCCGACTAATTATCATCTACCATAAAACAAATTATTCTCAAGGTTCACTAGCGCGTGCTGGTATTCTGAATCGCTATCACCGATTTAACAAACGTGTTCCTCTGGGGAGCCTGGATGACTCGTTTGATGATGATAATGATGATGATGATGGCGATGACGCTGATGACAATGAAGGTGAACATTCCCACGAGCACGAACCCAGTGCCAGTGACGGTGCCGGCGATGATAATGATGAAGATTACGAACCGGAAAATCCGGCCGTCCTCCGATCACCCCACAAGCGACACATTGCCTCGATAGTACGTTCCGGTTGGATGCCATCGTTCCGGCCTTCGCGAACCGCAGGCCGTTTCAGTCGATCCGGGAGGGCGAGGTCTCAAATAGTAGGAAGTTGAAACGCTTTTCCGTAGCGTCGTAGATGTTTCGTTTTTCTCTGGTAGACACACTGCAAAAGAATGAGAGCCTGTGCTCCCTCCTCTTGACATTTATATGGATAAATGTTGGCAGCAAGCAAAAAAAAACCAACAACTTGCAACAGTTCTTCTGATTGTCTTTTCAACCACCTCCTCCGTACCTTACACTTTTCTTTTTTTCTATTCTGAACCATGCAAGCTAAACTTTTCTGAACCCCTTCTGTGTTTGCCTTCATTTCCATTCTATTAGACTCGCTAGGAGTAACCCCCCCCCCCTCCTTCTATTAAAACGATCTCAGGAAAATGTTTACCCCTTAATCGTTGGAATGACCGTCAGTTATCAGTTCACATTCAAAGCATTCCTTTAGAGCTATTTGAATTCTCTTCATTTTTTCTCCCCCAGTCAAACCCACCTGTATTTTGATGTGCGTGTTTTCACCCTGTTAGCTGTTCTCCTCTGCGTAGAACTCACGGTTTCGTTTTAGAGCCCCCCCCCCGTCCCTACCCCCTCTTCATCCTAGGCACGTTTTTTCTTTGTCATGAATTGACTTTAAGTAAAAAGCATTTCAGATGAGCATTTCATTGTCGCTCTCGTCAAACGAATGAAAATGGGATGAACTTGAGGAACAATTGAAATAACTTTGTTGTTACCGCACTGCTGGTCCTGCTGCTGCTGCTGCTGCTGCTGCTGCTTATGCTTTCTCGGAAATCTGATTACCAAATTATACTCTCTGAACTTTTGTTAGGTTTTCATTTGTTTTTATACATACGGAAAAAGTTTCTCGCATGTGCCAAGCAGCATCTTCAAGCTTTTCTTAAGGAATCTGATCGCAGACACAGAAAAAAAGTGGCCACAAGGTATCTGCGGTGGAGATTACCGAAGATTGCTTGAAGGTGGGGGCATTCTGGAAACCGGGGGATAAGTTTGGGAAAAGGGTTTTTTTTTCTCCATTAAATTCAAGTCTCGCAGAATGGATGAAGAACTTACGCACTTCATACTTTCTGCACGTTTTTTCCCTTTTCCAGAGACAGGTTGGAGTGAAACCAGAGACAAATAGACCGTGACTAGTCGAAAAAGCTTATCGTGAACATTTTCAAGCTTATTGCTTATCGCTTATTAACTTATTGCGTGTTCTCAAATTAGTGTTCTAGCTGCACTTCCACAGTTATTATGTGGCAATTACAATCATACTCTATGCCCAGGAAAATCGGAAACTTTTCCAACCCGAACCCAGCCACCATGGTCTTGCTTTGTAGCTGCGCTTTTACCGACTGAGCTAAAGGAGGCCCCATCTTCCATGTCACAAATTCCCGACCAACTATAGAAAAGGGCACAGGGCAGCTTCTGTAAACATACCTGGTGCTGCCCTTTCCACGCAGACCAACAACGTCATCGGGAAGGGAAGTTGACGTTGTTGGGTTGCGTGGGCGAGCTTCGGTTCGTGGGAAAAAAGGGCACTACAAGTTTTGTTTACGGAAGCTGATTTGCCTTTTTCTATTTTTGTTCATGAATTGAATGACTGGAACTGTAAAATTCACCCATCTGCCCAACACACACGATTTTCGCTGCAGAACAGCTTATGTCTGCAAGAATTAGCTGCATAAGACCTTTGTATGCTGATCTGAAGTTGCAATTTTTAGTTGGGTGCGGAGAGTAAACTTCCGAGGAAGACGTGAAATTCAATCCATAGTTTCAAGGATTGTGTACAAGTGTAAGGTTAAGGTTTCCTTATTAGGAGGCAGGTTCGCCTCCGAAAACTAATGTATCGAGGTGGCTTATTCTCCTTTAAGTGTGTGTACGGCCGATGGATCCAACTCAAATTTGAGTTTCGTTCACCTAAATTTGCAGAAACATTGGTTACTCATCCGGGATAAACTTTTCTAATATGAGGTAAATTGAGGGAGGTTTTACTTAGTCTATTAGTGTACTTCTAGACTGTTTAAAATGTTCGACAATTTTCCAAATGTTCGAGAAGAGTGAAAAACCAATAAGTTTTGAGGCGATCTCATTAGCTGTGTACTTTGTTAGTTACGTTCAGTCTACAGTCTACAGTGAGAAAATGTACATACCTTTTCGATTTGGTGTGTTTGAGATCAGTGAGCTTGCTCCGCGTTCTGAAAGACACATTTTGCGTTTCAAATGTTCTAGACAAATGATTAGTCTTGAGCAAGGAATCAAAAATATCTCCAAATAACAAAACGACAATCGATCAACGAGCCGAACGCAGGGCTGGTAGCGATAAATAGTTATTTAAGTGAGCATGTTGAAGAAATAATCACCTTAAAGTTGTAAAAATAGTGTCTAAAAAGTAACCTAAGAGAAGAAATGTAGTCATTATGGTGGCACACCATACAGTTTTCACTCGGCTGTCGACAGAAGTAGATCACTCTCGATGTGTGTAACGCGATCGTCTGTTTACTCGGCAGCAACCATTGTGTGGCCCTCCTCATTGTTCTTCATCAGCAGTTCTTTCGGTCGATGCGTCGTCGACTTTGGAAAGCAACCGTTTCGTGATGAGTGTGTGAGTGATGACCGCGTTTTGCGTCCATTGCTGCAATGGAAGCGCTCTGCCCCCGTTGGCGATACTGCCATACAATAAAACCACTGGAAACGGATACCATTCTGATGGAGGAGGCTTTTTGGATAGCGGAAGATAAAGTGTTTATTGTGTTGTACCTTTTGACGATAGTTTTAAGATGTTTTGTTTATTGAGCAAGAATCCTCGGCTCTGTAAAGTTAATTCGATTGAGCCTTATTAAATAAGCAAATGAAAAAAAAAAAATGATGGCGCACCAAATAAATGTTTGATGTTTTAGATATAGTCAATTAGTATCTCATAAACTCTTATGTACGATATGAAGCATTAAAGCGAAATATTAGCCAGGGTGTTTACTAACTGCAAAAACCTGAAAAACCGAGAATCCTCATGAAATTTATTTTTTCCTTAAAATACCTGGAAGTCTCAGCGAATTTAATAATTTTCTTACTAAGGATATTTTATAGAAAATAATGAATTTGATTTTTCTCGTTATTTTCATTCACACTTTGAAATTTATAGATCCACAGTGGATTTATCTTCAGTAACAAATAAATTAAAAAAAAACAGAACATGCATATTCCTTAGAAATTTTAAATTCGAACTAGCTCTGGACTTAAAGGCTATAACACTTCATAAAAAAAATCAAGAATCTAGAGTAGAGTAAAATTCCATGCACAGTTTTAAAGGCTCGTGGAATTTTATTATAATTTCTAAGGATTTTATTCCAAGGGAGTTCTGGGGAAAAAAATCTTTCAGAAAAACATCAAATGCTTTCAAGGTAGTTCTGAGGAATTTTAGATTTCATGTCAAGTTTTGAGTATAATTTCCAGAAACCCTGAATTGAATTAGAAATTGATTTTAATGAAAACTCTTAGGAATTTTGGAGGACCACAACGCCTGTGAACTTCAGAGGTAAATTCCAAGGGCATTCTGAGGATAATTTTATAAAGTTTGTGGGAGAATAAGAATCCGGAGCATAAGCCATTGGATTTATTTTTAAATACTTAAAGGAGGATTACAATTAAATCTGAAAATAACTCCAGGACATCTTCAAAGGAATTGGAAAAATAAATTCAGGAGAGTTTGCCAAACAAATTATGGAAAGAAATCGAAGGAATTTTTGTGGAGAAATGCCAATGAATTTTTAGGGCACTTTCAATGTGAGTTGAATTTCAAGGGAAGGAGTGAGATTCAAAAGGAAATCTGAAATGAATTCAATTAATATTCGGAGAATCTTTCCAAAGCGTTTCTTATTGCTAAGAATTTCAAAGTAATTCCAGGAAAAATTAAAAAAAAATATATTTCTGAGGATAGCTTTATCGAAATCTTGATGAATATTTCAAAGGAAATCTCCGTTGAAAACAAAATGGACAATTCAAAGGTCTTCAGAACTACTTGGAAGAGTAGCGCCGGTGGTGTAGTGGTAAGCGTGATTACTTCTCATCCCAGCAGGCCTGGGTTCAATCCCAGTCGGCGCCGCCGGGATGTTCTGAGGCATAACATCTCTGATCACGCCTTCCTTCAGAAAGGAAGTAAAGCCGTTGGTCCCCGGTTCATGAGTTGATGGGTCGATAGGTAGGGTCTAGGTGTGGGAGAAGCCTTCCTGGCTCAGCACGGAAAACAAGATCGGCGGAAAACAAACCAAGAAAAAAAAAAACTACTTGGAAGTTCCAAAAATTTTCCTGAAGTTCATGAAACAGTCTTGATTTTTTTTTGTAGTTTGAGAAACGAGCCTGATGCTCACAATACTTGTCATCAAATTCTTAAACTTCCCTGAACTTTATAGGACTTTCTAAAGTTTCCTCAATTTTTCTAACGATCATGGATCCCCTCTAAAGGTTCAACAATTCGCTGAAGTTCTCTAAACTTCTTTAAAATTGATGTGACTTCTCTAATGTTACCGGAACTGTTCTGAAGCTCCTTGTTCTTTTCTGGAATTCTCAAAACTTCTCTAAAGTTTTTGCAGTTCTCATGAAGCATGTTGTACTGCGCTGAATTTAATTGAACCGTCCTGAAAATGTTTAAGATTTAGTGAACTTCTGAACTTTTGCGAAGACCTTAATTTTTTAACGTATCTGAAGTTATCTGAAACAACCACTGTCCTTCAGTGAAGTTTTTTAAGTTTTTCCAAATTTATGGAACTTTTGTGCTCTCGCAATTTTCATGGAATTAGAACGAAATAATTAATCTAGTGCTATGATTTTCACTGAATTTTTCTGAAGTTCATGAAACTTCCCTTAAATTAAAGACACTAATTTAAAACTCTTTCAATAGTGTAGACTTTCCTGGTGTTTTTAAAACTGCCTTTACGATGACTGAATTTCTTTAAATTTCTGTAGACTGCCCTGAATTTCTCAATATTTTTTAAGAACCCGCAACTTTACTGAAATTAATTGATTTGCCTTGAAGTTTCGACAATTAGGCTTAAAT